CGGAAACCCTACATAGGGTTTCTATCAGTCAGGAATGACAAATTGAAGAGGAATGGAATCACATTCATTATCAAAAAGAACATTTCACCTCCCTCCAAGACTGAAACTCAAAAGGAACACATGAGGAGGTGGGAAAGGCAACAATGAAGAAATGGGCTGAGTTCAACCACGTTCCACAGACTCTTGTTGACCTGGAGATGAGAGAGAGAAGAGAAAGGGCTGGATGGTCCAAAATATGGTTAGACCTGAGGACACCTGAGCCCATGGACAAGTACATAGCCTCAGAGGGCTAGAGCTGAGAGTGAAGCATTGAGCTGATATGATGTGAGAGGAGACTCAAAAACATGCAAACTTGCAGACAGTAACCATTTGACCTAGCCTCGATGGCTTGATAATCAGAACTCGACAAGAAGAAGAAAAACAATTTTTGATAAAGGAAACCAGTGTAAATTGCTGCAGTTGATAAACTTGAACTATACTTGTGGATGTAGTAGCTCAAAATACCAACTGAGAGGGAAGGAGTTTTCCCATCAAGTATCAATGCTATCCCCTCTGTATACAGGGTAGATAAGGATGGGCAACTTAGACACTGGCTACCTAAAATGAGGGGGCAATAAACACATGAAGTGACTGACATATGTTTTCAAGGGGGAGTTTAAGAGTGTGGGGGGGAAGGTAGAGACCCCAATGAATAATTTTCATCTTGTCTAGACGGGTCTGGTGAAAAGAGATGGAAATAAGATTCTTACGATTCAGTAGGAATTGTTATCATGACTAACTGCGACTGTCACAAATGTAAAGGTATAAGTTTTGTAACAAAAACGGGGGAGTAACTAACCTTACAGTCCAGAAACAGAGAACCCTAGGGCCATCAAGAGAGAAGAGCACAAGCAGAATGCAGTACTCTATCCAGAGAAACAGCGACACCAGAGATGAAGGCAGAGATGGGGCCATGGAGAGAGGTAGCAGCTGAGGACTCTAGACTCATGGAAAGAGAGGGACTGAGTGCTGGCGGCCAGGAGGCAGGCTTGTAGAATATGCCCTTTGGTTGATTAAATTATTATGTATTCCTGGGTGTTTTGTGTACTCCCTCCCCGCGACCCCCGCAAAAAAAAAAACAAAAAAAAA